CTCCTACTCCGTGTTCGCCTGAGGACCATCATTATATCGCAAGCAGCCAAAACAATCCAATCCCGTTGTTCTCATTCCTCCAGGAGAATGAAGGCGACCCGGCTATCAAGGTAAAATGGTATTGCACTTTCGGCATAGTTGAATGCTAAGGACAAGTTTCAGCACTTCATCCCGAAACTAAAAGATCATATACTGTATAGGCTGAAAAAGCTGGACATAGATCATTGTGACCATATGTTCATGGCCAAGGAACGCAATGTGGTCATCATCCCCAACAGTATGGTCTACTTGGTTCAAATGATGCATATACATTACACCACTTATGACATAAGGTGTGAATACTACGTCATCAACCCTAAAACCTATGCCGATGTGATGGTGTTTTCTGGAGAAAGCACTCCCAGTCACCCTTACTGATATGTGCGTGTAATGGGTATTCATCACATCGACACCTGGCTCCAAGGGGGTAATGAAACCGAGAAACAGCACCTTGAGGTCCTTTATGTCAGATGGCTCGCACCATTAATGTCGCATCAGTCTGGTATGCAGCATGCTCGCCTTCCCAAAGTGGTGTTTGTCAAGGAGTCAGACTATGATGCATTCGGATTCCTTGATCCAGGACAGGTGATTCGGGGAGCGCATCTGATTCCAGCATTTGCTTCAGGGTGCGGTGCCAGTTCACTTCGCTATGGAAATTTGTTAGGACATCCCAAAGGGGAACTTGACAACTGGGAAGTGTATTATGTCGGGATGTGAGTCTTATGTGTCTTTTTGTGGTTGAATGACTCACCTATCAGAACTAGTTTCGTCAATCGAGATATGTTTTTGTGTTATACTGACCTGGGCATAGGACACCCGGTTGCTTTACGGAAGATTGTCAGAGACTGTTTTGGCCTCCACCCGGCAGCACCGGGGGAGCACATACTACAGTGACCTATCTCCGTATAATACGAGGGAATGGACGTGCATAATATCCCGTATGATACGGGCCAGCGGACCATGGGCCCATGATAAAGATATTCTCGACTATGACGGATGGGCCGGGAGGCAAATTAATCCCGATGGAGGCGGGTGGGCCCATGCAGGGAATATATAGAGTAGATGAGTGGGCCGATGTAAATGAATATTAGGTAGACGGGTGGGCCGAGGTAGCTGGATATTATGCAGATGGGTGTATTAAGGTAGATGTGTATGAGATAGATGGGTAGGTACTTGTTATCACATTCACGGGTGGGCCCAGACACATATTAAATTAGACGGGTGGGCCGAGGGTATTATAAAATATTGTATTATACGGGTGGGCCCAGACGCATATTAATTAGACCAGTGGGCCGAGGGTGTTGTATGGGATGTTGTATTAGACGGGTGGGCCGAGGGTAGTATACAATATAGATGGGTGGGCCCATGTGTATCATAATTGTAGACATGATGGAGCTGAGGTAGTTGTACATCGACCAAATCAGAGGAGGTAATAAATCAAAGTTACCAAGTTCCCGGAGCATCAGGTGATCTCCTGACATGGCAGTGCGAAGCTTGTGTTGCCCAATGAGACGCCAAGTTCCGGCCACCAGAATTTGAGTCAACTGTACCGAGTTCCGAGTTCCGGGACCCGGAACTCACCACATAAGTTGGTTAATACTTTTTGATGGTGCACAGGTTGTCTTGCAGAATGTGGAATCCGGGGTGCGAAGCTTGTGTTGCCCTACGAGAAGCCAAGTTCCGACCACCAGAATTGGAGTCAACTGTACCGAGTTCCGGGACCCGGAACTCAACACATAATTTAGTTAATACTTTCCGTGTTAAATGGCCAACCGAAGTTGAGATGTTTCTGAAGAGAGCAGCAGGTGCTCTCTTGACATGGCCTCTGATGGTGCTTAGGTTGTCTTGCAGAATGTGGAATCCGCGGTGCGAAGCTTGTGTTGCCCTACGAGAAGCCAAGTTCCGACCACCAAAATGTGAGTCAACCGTACTCAGAGGAGGTAATAAATCAAAGTTACCGAGTTCCCGGAGCAGCAGGTGATCTCCTGACATGGCTGTGTGAAGCTTGTGTTGCCCTACGAGACTCCAAATTCCGACCACCCAAATATGGGTCAACCGTACCGACCTCCGAGTTCCGGGACCCGGGAGTCGACAAATGAATATCTGATGACCAGCGAGTCAACCTTACTCAGAGGAGGTAATAAATCACAGTTACCGAGTTCCCGGAGCAGCAGGTGATCTCCTGATATGGCAGTACGAAGCTTGTGTTGCCCTACGAGACGCCAAATTCCGACCACCGAAATATGGGTCAACCGTACCGACTTCCGAGTACCGGGACCCGGGAGTCGACAAATGAATATCTGATGACCAGCACACTTCCAATCAGGTAGTATTTCATTGAGCAATGGATAATAATACATCTTTGACAGCAGCCAAAATTATCCATGGCTCCCTTATCTGATCCTCTCTATCTCCACCCCCTATAACACCAAAGTCCGGACATCCAGCATTCAGCGTCTGATTTCCCAAGATTAACATCCAGCATGAACGGTTCTTCCCCTTCCCCTCCTGATAGCATAAACATCTGGCGCACTTGGGCCCTGACTGTGACTTATGAAGCAGGGGAATATACTGAACAGAAATTCAAGGCAGAGAAGACTGGAGGAGGCCCAGTCATACCTTCCCCCAACCTAGACACTGATCTGGTGATGGTGTGCGATTCGCTTGGCTGATGTACTCATAAAGGCATCTAAAAATCCCAGTGGGTCTTCCTGCAGATTCGGAAAATTCTATTTATCATTCAAATTCCTGCATGACAGTTCAGATGCAGATGGATATTGCAAGATATAGCAAATTGATCTCCCCGAAGGACACCGGGCATAATGAACATAAAGAGGCAAGGTTGCTTGAGAGGTGTCCTCCTGGCCATGAAGGCAAAAGGTTGGTCGATGAACCTGCAATAATTCTTGATGCATCCGGTGCCATCATTGCATGGTATCTCCCAGACGCCCTGACAGACACCACCCAGGTGTGTAATATACATTGTTACTCGATGGATATCGAATATTAATGGAACCTACAGAAGGAAATCAGGGAGGCCACCTATTTGCTCTCTCCAAGCCTCGAAAAAAGTGTAAGGGCTGATGGCAATTGGCGAACTAATCAAAGGTTGTTCAACCGGGGCTCGGAAGATGTTGGAGCAACTCCCGGATGCATCAATCTATCTCCGGCATGGTTTCAACAGGGACACGAGGTAGGATCTGATGAGATGGTGATTCCGGCAGTCATACTTACCAATCCCAAAGAATGTGTCCGATCCGGAGGTATCTGCATCATTGAAGGGACCTTCCTGCGAGAATATCCTCAAAGCCATTGCAAGGCCAGCAGCCATCGCGTCCGCAGCACTCAGAGTCATGCATCCTGAGCAGTACTGGGCAGGGTTGAGAACCTTGTCAAACCTTGGAAATATAGCAGTAAGCAAGGATCTGCCACAGATGCCGGAGGCCCTGCAGTACTGGGCATCCGTGTTTAACACCCTCTCCATCATTTCCAATCGGGAAACCCCCCATCATCGAGACCACATGTCCATTGCTGAATGCTTCGACATTCTCACCACCGTGGGGGACTATTCTAATGCTCGGATGACAATGCCAAACCTTCAGCTGGAGTTCAAGTACAATTCCGGCTGTATGATTGCGTTTTCCGGAAAGATTGTGAGACATGGAGTGTATGATGTGGAAGGGGATCGGATTGCTTGGGCATGGTATATGAGGGATGCTGTTCATATTTATGCTGGTGTTCCATCATGTGGATGGGCTAGTGTGGATGGTCCATACAGTGTGTGAAAGATCAAACAAAGAGCAAGCATTGTGACCTATATACATTCCAACAAATGAATACCATGTACCAATTGTGATCCGGACCTCAATACTCAATTTTGAGCATTTCCCAAGTGATATGTGGGACTAAATAATTTGGATGCAAGCCTCGGTATTCGATAATTGGAACTCGGGACTTGACATATGGGAGTCCTGAGTGCCGGGGTACTTAGTCCCGACACCCGGACCTCAGCACATGATATTTGAGACTGGGGGAAGATGTATAAATACGCTCGAATTAACATTTGTTATTGCCATACACATTTAACAAAACCCTGAACCCCGACATTGTGGACTCCGGACTCGACACTGTTCTGAATACCGAGTTCCGGACGCCCAGGTCCCGAGTCCCGAATTTCGGAGGTCGGGGTTCGGAGACCCGGAGCTCGGCAACTGTGTTGGGTGTCAGGGTATCCAGACCATTGGAGATAGCATGTGTCAGTATTTTGCGTTTCATGGTTTATGTTGGGTGAATATGGAATTGGGGATCAGGGACTCGGTATTCAGAACAGTGTCAAGTCCCAGGTCACGAGCTCCGAGTCCCGAGTGCCGAACCCCGAGTCCCGAGTCCTGAATTTCGGAGGTCGGGGTTCGGCGACCCGGAGCTCGGCAACTGTGTTGGGTGTCAGGGTACTCGGAGCATTGGAGATAGCATTTGTCAGTATTTTAAGTTTCATGGTTTATGTTTCGTGATTATGGAATCAGGTGTCAGGGACTCGGTATTCAGAACAGTGTTGAGTCCCAGGTCATGAGCTCCGAGTCCCGAGTCCCGAAACCCACACCCAGCAGTTGCCGAGCTCCGGGTCGCCGAACCCCGACCTCCGAAAGTCGGGACTCGGGACTCGGGGTTCGGCACTCGGGACTCGGAGCTCGTGACCTGGGACTTGACACTGTTCTGAATACCGAGTCCCTGATCCCCGATTCCATATTCACCCAACATAAACCATGAAACGCAAAATACTGACACATGCTATCTCCAATGGTCTGGATACCCTGACACCCAACACAGTTGCCGAGCTCCGGGTCTCCGAGCCCCGACCTCCGAAATTCGGGACTCGGGACCTGGGCGTCCGGGACTCGAATGTGAGATTTTTGAATGCATAGAATATGTTACATCTTGTATACAATGAAGAGTGAATGGGACTACACTCCTTTGCCTTTCCTCAATTTCTCTAACATGTCAGTGTACATCTTCACCTCTCCCATCTTAGCTTCGATGCCCTGATCTTGCTCCTCCAGCAATGCTTCCATGCGTTCTTTGATGAATCTCAGTCCCATGAGTGGTGGAGTCGAAGTGTTTTTCAACTTCTCTGGAAGTACCAAAGCATCATCCTCAACATTAAGCTGAAACAGATAAGTCATCAATCAAGGTAATTCAGCTGACATCTTACCGCCCAATACTGGTAGTGAGAGACGCAGGAAGCCATTATTTCATCCCACTGCCATGGTTGATCAGGGATTGTGGTGTTTCCCATCCACCATGGACATGTATATGCGAACACAATCCGGGACGGATGTCCTGCAATTGGCTCATCATGAAATGAAAGGAGGTGGAATGAAAAGACGTCGTCCGGAACAGTGTTCCAGGTCAGCATGGGATACAACTTAAGGATATAAGCGACAGGGACCTGGAAGAACCGACACGATATTCTGTGAAGCGGAGTACTGCAGGAGTGGTGTGACAAATGTCTGCTCAAATTCTTAGCATTGACCAACAAAGTCATCAGGGCAGTGGTGACATACATTCATCTCCCATTGCAGCCCGGCTTTAAAATACTTGATCCGGTCAGCAGATAGACCATTGTTGGCAGCTTCCGTCCGATATTGAGAGATGATTGCACGGACGCGCGATCCAGCCATTGCCAATGTGCAGGAAATAGTTGCAAGGCTCAGCTTCAGAGGTCGGTAATGGCTTCCGGGATTCAGAGTGCCAGAAGTGGATGCATGAGATGCAGACATGGCTAATACAGGACTATGGCGCTGGCAATACAAGTGAAAGATGGTCAAGATGTGAAGATAAGAATCACTGATGGATGGATACGAAATTCAAACTCCGACATGGGCTGACCCGGACAATTCCCGGGCGTCAATTATGTATGTGGAAAAAGGGACTTCATGAGAAAACAATGTTCATTCATCTCCAGCCTCTATCAACACGTTTTGTAGGTCTTGAAAAGCTGCCTGCGCATCCTGTGCCAGCAATGAATACATGTGGGATTGCCTTCCTGGCGTAGCATCCGTGACCCGGAAGTCGTTTCTCCAATGATTCCTGCATGTGCTCGCCCCATATGGTTGTTTTCCACAAAAAGAACTTACATGTCCAATCCATCTCCAATGTGACCAATAGCATTTCTTCCCTCCATCGATCCCGTAGTGCCTTTGCCCTCAGCCAATGGACTCGGTAAACTTGGCATGGGTCCAGTCAGGTAACCGCGGGATATGACATGCAAGCGGGAACTCACATTCTTCATTCCACGATTGATCAGGACCCCCGAGGTCGACTTCAACAGACCAAAACCAAGCCAAAGATTCATTTCGTTGACCTCGGGCATTTGGGTCGCCCACTGCAGTGCTGATTTTGAGTTGCTCGTGAAGCAGGGGTTTGTATTTCTGAAGCTGGTCTTGCCCCGGCTCAAGTTTCATCATTTGCTTCCTTGTCTTTGTATATATGCTGGCATGGAGGGAGACTGCCTGCTGCACTGACGTCACCTGGGACCAAGCTCGAGTTTTCAGGGCCTGGGAATTGGCCTGCCTAACGGTTGTTCGGAACAGGATGGCCTTGTTGCAAAGGTAAATGTAGAGATTGTGAAGGGCATCATTGGCCTGCCCTTCACGAAGCGACATCTCCAGGGGAATCAGATCCTCTGCCATGCATCGTCTGCATCTATCAACCCCCAGGTTTGATGGCAATGGGATTACAGTTAGCTTCGGGAGAGTTTGTCCATGTGTGAGATGTCTCTGTGAAATCCGCCGGGTCATCATCGAGATCATCTAGAATGTCTACGTCCAAGTCTTCAGGTTCATCATCTGCATCAAATCCCTCCCTGAGATGTGTTAGAGCAGACCGAGCAAATCCATCTATCTGGCCTTGGAGCCGATCTCTTTGACGGGCGATGTCTAATCTCTGTGTCTCGGTGGATCTTCTTCCGATCCTTCAGACCTCGATGAGCAATGCAATCTGAGCCTCTTCAATTGCTAACCCTGTTGATATCCATGTCGCCACAGATCTGCGAGAGGGTGCTGCATTGCGGGCGTTACCCTCCTCTAACAATCTAAGCTCGATCTCCTTTTTGCTAGGTGCTGAGTGCAATATTAATTCAGACCTCGACGGAGACAATGGAACTCAATGTACCCTTTTTGATATTGATCTCATATTCATCCATGGCTGAAGGATCATTCAATCTGCTTGACTGAGCTATCCTCTCCCTGGCTAACCATTCTGTCTTCAAATGTAAGGGTGCTGCTTCATCGAGTCTGTCGAATGCCTTTCCACTTTCTAAGATACCATTCCTAGCCAGTTTGTATTTCCGGCATAGAGTCCTTTTCATGCGAATCATCTTGCAGAAATTGGAGTCATTCATCTGATAACCAAGGCATTCCTTTCGGTGGGGAGATGACATTCCCCGAGCAGCAGGGGAGATCAAATTGAGCCGTGCCCATAGCGTCTCCATGATCTCTCCATCGATCCGACCAATGCCTTCAATAAAGTTAGAAGCATATCGGACATAGCAGCTGTCCTGATGGCCATGAACGTGCCATAACCCAATTCCAGGAATGATGGTTAGTTGTGGTGCCATTTCTAGAAATCAACTTCGATCCACCCGAACCCGAAAGTGTTTGTTGTATTGACAATTAATATCATAGAAGGTGACAGCCCTGGTAATGCCTTCCATGTTGTGCCGGGAAGCCTCGCAAAGGGCATAGTCCATGTTAATTTGTCTGCAAGTGACCCATGGTTAACTCGTGAATGGGGAATGGTGGATGTGGCTTGCCTTTCGCCTTTCTGAAAATCCACCATGGAGTGAGGGACAAAGCAACCGTGTCTGGCACAGGCAACTCCCCTGATACCAGTGGACTCCAGCTTGTGCCGAGCAGCATTAGCTTTATTTACTGCCCGGTGATTGTTGCAGCTTGATTTTTCCACTGTGTCAGCAGCCTCTGCCAGGTGCATTTTATACCTGTCCTTTCCTACCATGAATCCAAGCCCATCGGACAGCCAAACTTCATTGAATGGCTTAATGGGATGCAGATGTTCGGCTTTGAAATTTCCGTCCATCACAAATGACCAGGTGTATTTCCAGCTTGGATCCCTAGTATTATTATGGAGGCCACATAGGTTGAGAATAGGACTCACTCATCAAGAGATTCATCCTCTGACAACAGCACATTAATCCCAGGCTGAGGACATGCCGGGCAAAATAATGCAAGTTCTCCTGTGCTCGGGTTATCAGAACGATAGCCAAAGCCATGCCATTTCATTGTCTTCAACTGCCTCCACTGTCAAGCGACCTTCATGAGCTCTCTGTATCGGTCCTTGCAATGTGCTTTGTCAATATGATGTCCAGTAGATCATGAGGGTAAGGCATTACCGGAACAAGGTGTGGAAACATGCTGGAGGTCATTCGCCGGAGCTTGCTGTAATAGTTCATTGCCGAGGTGCCGCATTCAAGGCTGTCCAGTAGAAAATCATTGAGCACTCTGAAGGTGAACACAGTCTTTGGCCTGTTAAAAGATGCAGGGAAAAATCTGTGTCGAAACATTTGAATGTCCGGACTCATGGCATTCGGACATTCACAGCATCGAACCTCCAGGCGATGAACTCCGGACTTGTCCACGATGACCATGGTGTTTTCCTTTGGCTGGAACTCGGGTCCGGACACAAATGGCAGATCTTCAGGCTCGAGCAGGTCTTCGGGTTCATCTTCTTCAAACAAATTCCACCGATCGGTGACTGCCGGACATTGTTTGCCATCATGGCCAAGGTATATAATGAGTCCCACATGAGCTAGACAACTCCGCTCGAAGAATCGCCCATTCCATTGACTGATCCAGTGGAAAGGATTGCTACGATGTTGACTCCTGCAACAGCCCGTGCAATAAAGTGGCTCGCCAAGACAATCTTGACATTTGTACACCCCATCCTGTTGGCAGATGATGCATCTCCTGTCTTCGGGTGGAGCTTCTCGATCGAGGAGGTGATGTAGATATGATTCCTGCCTTGGCAGCCATTGCCTGAGGTAGTCATTTTGACTCTGTATTTTGAATGCTTAGCCATAGTTTGAATGACACTCCAACATTGTACATGAACTTGCCATGGTTTTTGGGAGTTGCAAAGGCTCAAATGAGCCTTGGTCCTGCTCATAAGTATTGTCAGGAAAGTCTTCCCAAGGAGGCGGTGCCTCAACAGGCTGAATTGTTGGTGATTCCGGGAGAGAGTTAGGCATGGACCTGTAGGCATGTCGCCTCGTGCTTGCAAGTGGGACCTTGACCCAAGTCTTCCTACCTTTGCTGCCCCTTGCTTCCACCCTGTGAGATTTTTGCACTGGGGTGCATCTACCTATCTTCATCTTGTTTATTAATGTTGCAAGCAAGGCATCAGCTCAGGTGTAATGAATTGTTATTGCAATATGATGTGGTGCAGTCCTGTTGGCTTATTACAAATTCATTTCCATTAATGGCTCAGGGTCCAATATGGGCCGATTAACCTATCATTAGGCTTTGCTCAAAGTTCAACTTCGCACAATTCATTAATACTTTCACCTTGGAAATCCTTAGCCATTTCTGCATTCTGATTCACTATGGCAAGAACAGGTCATTCCACCAACACGACTTCCGGAAGACACAGGATGCGTCAACCACAGTCTCAGAAGCTCACGGACAAGGAGATTTTGGAGTTGAAGAACTACCTTCCTGAGTGGACTGCTGCCAAAAGGAGTGAGAAGCAAGCGATTTTCACTGCCATAGCAAGGGCGGCCAGGTTGTTTGCTCCGAAGTTGGACCAAAAACAATGGAAAAAGAGGAAGCAGGTGAGGCTTCTTTGTTGTGTTGAAAAACTAAATTTTTAACATCACATTCTTTCATCAACTCTTAGGTGTACAAGACTTGGTTGTTCAACAACAAGAAAAAGAAGGAAAGGAAGGACATGATCAAGTATGGGAGGAAATGGACTCCCAGGATGGTGGTCTACCAGCAAAAACGCGAAGAGGTGCTGAAGAGGATTGAGGATGAGTCCGGGGTAAAGCCAGGAGATCCTGGTATGTTCAAACATTATCAGGCAGTGGTGAAGAGAGTCATGGCTGAATTGGATGACGACGAGTTGGAGAAGGCTAAAGAAACAGCCGAAGAGTGGTCCAACAACTGTCCGCCTCTGGAGATACAAGCACAAGTCGCTCGTAAGAAGGGTCCGGCATATATGGAGCACTTTTCAAACGAGATGTGGAGGCAATGTGGGATGAGAGTGTTTGTGATGTCAGCTTGGAAGAATGAAAAGGGCGAGGTGCTGTTCGGGATGTGAGTACATTTATCCATTGACAGAGATTTTTCGTCTCAAAATATTCATGCAGGCATGATGATAATGAGGCCTTAGGAGATGGGGACAGCTTCATGAAGACGAAGGACTGGGAGGACATTGAGCCAGTGTGGCAGGAGTACGCGCAGGAACAGTTCGGTGAGTGTGTGAACCATGTATACCAGATTGAACATATTGAGCATCACAATGATAGGCGCCGGGGCACGGGATGGAGGACGTCAGGTCAAGGGAGGTCGAAAACGAATTCGAAAACCAGCCTTCGAACTCGAAATGGACGGGGAGGGTATGCCACTCCTTCCGGACATCACCGACACCAAACTTGAGGAGAAGAAGGCCATAGTAAGGGCCTTTCTTACATCGCACTATCATGAGTTTGTCGTCGCATCACCTGACAAATTGTTCAATGCATGGACAAAGGGATATGCTCCAGGAAGGACAAGGCGGTTGTGCCATGGAGTGCCATTGTACAAAGTCAGGATGACTTCGTGGCCCGGACGTATCTTCCGGCGGATGTTGACTTGAAGGAACCTTTGAAGCTGCAAATTTGGGACACCACTACCTTGCTCCAGTTTTGGCTCGCTCGGCAAGAAACAGGCGAAGGGCCCACATTTCTGTTCAAAGCATGGAAGAACAAAGATGGGGACATGGTACCATCTGTCATATCTGGCAACTCGCCCTCTCCTCAGACTCGTATAGTGAGAAGGCAACAGAGGGTTACCATCCGAAGGCCTCGGGAGTCATCGACAGAAGCCGAGAGTGATAAGGAGAGTGCCACTCATCATACGGAGCATAATGTGGATGATGACCTGGCTGACGGGAGACCTCCGCTGAAGAAGCCCAGGACGGGAGGTCCTACACCCAGAGGGCCGGCAGTCCCACGTTCAATTCCAAAGCCTCGCCCGGCCAAGCCAGCCAAAAAAGGTGCATTACTGACATCACGATTGGGAGACCTCCTCACTGGGTTAACTGACAATGCGACAGGCGAGGTTAGAGATGATGTCGAAATGGAAGAGAGTATCACACCGCCGGCACAGAAAAGGAGGAGGGGCACTCGAGTCACTGTTGAACCATCCACGAGGACGACCCGGAGTAAGTTGCAAATGCCAGTAGACAGTACACCTAGAGTAACCAGAGCACGGGGATGCACTTAATGTACATATATCTTCCTGCCCTCATGTGTAATGTCATAAGTGCTATTATGTATATGTCAAAGTACTAACAAACAAATTGTAATTGCCAAATGCCAAATCTCGAGTACCAAGGCCCGAGTACCGAACCCTGAATACCGAAGCCTGAACGCCAGTCACCGAGTACCAAGCCCCGAGCCCCGAGTTCCGAGCCCCGAGTACCAAGCACCGACTACCGAGCCCCGACTGCTGAGCCCCAACTACCGAGCCCTGAGTACCGAGCCCCAAGTACCGAGCACAGAAAACCTGGCAGCAAGTACTGG